CCCACATTTGTGGTGGGAACGGCGGTGGCGTTCACCATGTTTGTGGCGGGGACGGCGGGCTCAGGCGGGTGCTGCGTGGCTTCTCTCCCTCCCGCCATCGCCTGTGAGCAACGCATGTCGTCCAGGATGAAGACGGTGGCGTGGAGCAGGTCCGTGAGACGAAGCAGCGTTTCCTCCATCCCCGCTCCCGACACTGGAGGAGGGACGGACGGTGGAGCAGACGGCTGCTAAGCCGGCGGTGCGGCGTCAATCTCGGCCAGAATCGGCGGCCCCGTTGGTGCCTGCTCGCCAACGTTACCGTCAGAACTGCAGATACGTGGCTTGCTTAGTGTCTCCATAGCCAATAGCAACTTCTGACACCAAATGTAATGGGTTCCGGAGACACTTGTAGAGGTAACTTTTTTATTTCAATACAACACTCCAACAGTCCTGATACACCGTTACAGCCTAGGGACACAGCCTACTCTTAGTGTGCCTGACACTGGCTACACTCTCGGGTCCTCCGGCTACAATTACCCTAGGGGAGGCTACCTGACCCGACCCTGCCAAGGTGCGGGTCTAGACTCTGGCTTCCTCGGAACTCGCCCTTACAAGGGCGTAGAGCCGGGAGTCCCAGAGTCCCACCACTGGCCCGCATAGCGTCCCGGCCCTTACAAGGACAAGCAGGGCGAGTGTGTCCAGGGTCCTAAGCTGGCTGGTCTTGGGTCTTGAGCTGCGACTGGTCCCGATCGGCTGGGGAGCGGCCCTTTTATCCCCCTTGCCCATCGAGGGGTGGGGTTGCGTGGGATCCTAGATCCCCCGCAGCCCCCTGTTGGTGGCGCCAAGGGGATTAGCTGTCTGGGTTGTCTGGGATCCTGAGGCCCCGGCGCCGAGGGCTTAGCTGCCTACGATCCTAGAGCCCCCAGCAGCCCCCCCCCTCTTGGGCTGGCACAGTGGCCCCTTCCTTGGGGGTCCGAGGTACCTGCAGATGGGCCCTGTCCACCACTGCCGGTAAGTGTGGCCTATCTACGGCACTACAGTAGTATATCACTTTGTTAGAAGTGGGGTCTTTTTTGTTGTTAATAGCTCTAAACAGCGCTCAATACAAAGTGAGGCTAGACACTGTCAGAGTGCACACATTCAAGTGTACAGTGTGCTCGAGGAGCATTTGAGACTATCTGAATGCTAACTGGGGGTGAATTTAGCTTGAATACCCCAGTCAAGATAAATCAATGTTTGGTTTTAAATTGAGTGATGCATAGTAATGTAGGATCGGTATATTTGTACAGGCGCTCTCGCAGGCGTGATTTTAAAGAAGATTGGATTATTATGAGGTGAAAAGCGGTGGCAGCAAAGTGTGGTGTCTTGACATGCCATTTAGGTTATTGCGTTGATTAGTCACATCATATTCATAAGTTACATGAATCGGAGGGAGTTTTAAACATCTCAGAAATGCCTACTCATGCCAAAGAAGTGCTGACATAAAGACATGTAACTCGGCAGTGTATCATTCGTAAAACAGGAGTGTTGTAGTTTGGTAGTCTTATGTACACGGATGCTTAATTCATTGTCTTTGTGGGCTCATCAGATATTTTTCATCTCAAAATATTAATTATTTACATTCCTTTGTCAGTTTGCTGTTGCTGGGTGAAGGCCTTGCCACGCCATGTCATTCACGTTGATTTTTTGGCCATACTTCACCACTGATCAATACTGGTTGTAGAAGTGGAGGCTGTGAGGAGTGCTCAGGTCCAGTTTAAATAACCACTCGCCATGAATGTTATCATTGACCTGGAATGAAACTCAAGACGCCAGCTTTATAAGGCAGTGCATTAACCACTGCTCCCTACATTCCGCTCCCAAAAAATTACGCGACACAAAATACAGCATTGGCTTACGTAGTGCATGTCCTTCCATGTCACGCTGCATGGATTGAATCGCTTTGTGCAGTGGGATTATTGAATGTTTTTTGGGCGATTTCATGTAAAGCACACTTTATTTGCGAGTGCACACACGATTACATTAGTGGTGGGCGACCCCACAGGCCTGCGAGACTCGCCGTGCAACCAAGGAGGCGCGCGCTACTTGCCTGTGTCTGCCCGCAAACCCTAGGCGCAAATTAAAGGCCTGACCTTGGCCCCCTGACATTTGCAGAGAAATTGAAGAGGGAGAAAGGGAGGGGACTGGGGAGGATGTGAGAGAGGGAGGTGGGTGAGGTCGAGGTAGGTGGGGAGGACAGGAGGAAGCTTAAGAGGGGAATGATGAGAAGGAGGAGGGAGAGAGGTGGGCAGATTCAGGTTGTAGAAAGCTGGACGGAGAAGTAGTTAACACTAAACTATAAACTATATTTATTTCACCTGGTAAAGCCCACTGAGTAATTAACTCTTTTTCAGACGCGACCTGGCCACAAATTATACCTCAACGTAGTGGCTTATCATGTGGAAATGTATAGCAGCCAAATATATAAATGCGTGATTCTAAATTTGGAGGGAAAAACCGGAGGACCTAGAGAAAAATCCACGCAATTTCGGAGAGAACATGCAACCTCTAAATATGCATGCGTTAGGGTCAGGATCAAACCCTCGATGTCCTGCATACGAACTCCTGATTTGAAGTCTTGATCGAGAAAGAAGGGAGCAGGGAGGATGGAAAGCGAGGATAGGAGGACCAGCTGAAAAATGCTTTTTCAGTAGCACCCAAGAAAAACATATTTGTCACATCCATGCCTTTGTAGGATAATTGTGTTTATAAATTCTGCTTTTTGAAACCATAGCCAGCCAGTTACGGTGCTGACAACAGTGTTGCTTACCAGAGATGCCACAAAGGGCCTGGGGTACAAGATGACAGGTTTCACATGCATGGCCTGGTCATGAGGCCGACTTGGTGGCTTTGCAGTGAACCTTTTTTCTGCCCATATTCAGGCATATAACCTTCACTGTACTTTAAAAGGTCCGATGAATATGTTCTGAATTATTTGCAAAGGCCTGGTGTGGTCCTGAAATTGCTTCCTCGTACCACTGCAGCGAGAGCGCAACCGAACCCCTCTAGACAATCCCTCTGGAGGGTACTTTGGTTGACCAAACTTCATGGAAGAGGTGGGAGTAACCACACTTAAACCAACCACACATGACCTGCCGATCGACTAACTGTGGCATACCCATTTGTACTGCTAAGTGGACAGAGGCAGGAGGATTCAATAAACTTGCACCATAGTTTTAGCTGCCACACCAGGAAATTAAACTGGTGTACTTTGGGATTGAAAATACAATGTCCTAACCATTCTACCATGCCAGCACCTGGATTATTCAGATTTTTTTTCGATGTTGTAATTACAGAGGCCAGTGCTTTCGATGGGAACTTTAGTGCACATCCTTGTGTTTGCATGGCCATTGTTCATAATGACAGGGCAAATTCACAAAACAAATCTGGGCAATTTAGAGAAAATCAAAATAAATAATTGATTATTTAATTAATATCGTCATTATTACACTTGTTTTTCCAGATTAAACTAACTCAGCCTCATGACTCTTTCAGGAAGGTCCAGGCAGGTATTCTTAGTCAGGAGCAATGGTTGTTTTGTATATTCCAATTGAATTATTTGCAGTTAATACATTCTTTGGAAATTTAGGATCAAGAAGCCTGCACACATTGGCCTACTCTTGCAAGTTACATCAAGGGATCTCTAACGTCCACTGTCAAGAAGATGGCGCGTATTTTTACAATGAGTACACCAGCAATATTAACCAGGGTGGCCACTAGATTTGAACAGCAAACGTCAGACGAAGTTACTGCCCAATACTTCCCCTATATTGTAGACCCACAGACTATCTCCGAATTCATTGCTTCGATCCGTATTAACCTGGTGCACTCTATCGTAGCATTAAGTCATCTGCTGCCCAGGTTAGGTTGACGCAGTCATGTATGCGGGTTGCACGTGATGCTGCTTCCCTATGTTTACTCCCGCGATTCAAGTTCGGGTTTAGCATGTTGGATTAATCCGTGATACTAGGTGTGCTTGCTTAGCAGCATGACTCATGCCATTGGGAGTGAATGTCTTATTAAACCGCCTCTTTCTCCAGCAGCGCCTTCCTGGAACCTGCAGATATGTGAAGTTAATGGAAAAACCTAAATTAACTTTCCTTATGGTGCGTATGAGGTCACAGATTTATTTGTGTATGAATATTTCACATTGTATTTGTCGAGCAGAGCTCTTGTGTTTGCATTGCTTGCGTGTGTTGCTTTAATGTTTTCATGCAGAGGAAAACAAGCGGCTTTAACATGGTGCGAAATAAAGAAACCACTTTAGGTCTGCCATGCAAAAGATAGACTATCACAATGGCTTCTTCTACAGTACTAAGTGAATATGAATATACTAAATCGGTAATTCATGAATTTAAATAAGACAAATGGGAATGTGGTGATTTCTATGACTCAGATGAAGTGTGCAGCAAATAGGAGAATGATCAGGGGATACTTGGGGGGAGTGTGTAGATGGGGGGAGGAGAGAGGTGTGGGAGAAAGATGGAAGGGTTAGAGATGCTGTGCTGGGGTGTACCCATAAGTGATTGATGAAGGCCTGGAGGAGGGAGGGTTTGCTGATGCTATTGGAAAAATCCGTACAAAACGTACATACCTCCGGGGTGGTCAAAATGAAGGGCAATGAGATGAGGGCACGATTGGGGCAGCAGAGAGGTCAGGCCACTGAAGCAAATATTATGCTGTGGTTTGAGCTACCTTTGTACTCATCCATGTAAAGGGATGCTGAGGGTTTGTAAAAACTACAGAGAGTTGCTGCTGAAAACATGGGGAATGTGTGTTTCATAATGTGAAGGAAATTGAGAACAGAAATTTCTCAATGTCATTCTCAGTGTTTCTCTCCATTGCCCTGCCGTGTTCTTAAATGGGTTTATTACGTGCATACTGAGTCACCTTTATTTTGAGACTCCAATCAACTGATATTTGCTTTGATGTTCCACACTCCCCCTTTGTCACCCCTGTGCCTCTGCCTCTTCTTCCACCAGCCCTCACACCTCCACACGTGCTCCTTTCCTTTGTTCCTTAGGTGAAACCCAAGCCCATTGCGAATGAAGGTTCCACGCTGAGATTGCGCTTTTGGGGACACGACGACGTGTTGCCTGATACACGCGCTCCGTTACCCTTTCATGTGGAAGCTGACTACAATCACAGCATGCTCCGCAAAATAGTAAAGTGTCTGGGAATGAAAGCATATAATTTATTTTTGTGCCTCCGATGCCAGCCCTGCCGTCTGATGAGGGGAGGTGGAGGGAATGCTTGAAACAGTGCATGGATAACTAGTGCAAGCCGGGAGATCTGTTCCCTGCCCACAATCCCACTTCCACCAACTCCGCGGTGGATGGCTCTGTCTAGCTACAGCTCACCGTATCGTCCGGTGATTCCAGCTCAACACACGAGCACCTCTGAAGGACTTTGACGTCAGCCCTCATCACGACATCAACTCATTACAAAATACTCCTTTGCTGCTTGCAAAATAAATCAAATATTGCTACGATGTTCCATTCCTATCCACTGTATAACAAAAAAAATGCTATATTATATAGAGTGCAATGACTATTATTGGGCTTGTTATTTGGATTACAAATGCATACGTCATTAAAGTTTTCATATGCAAACCCGAAACCAAATATTTATTTGCAGCCATCTAACTCTGCAAGTATTAATCCTTGAAGACGCGTGCACACATTTATAAATGATGGAATGGACGCAGCGATAGGAACGTTGGACGAACTGTGCCAGCACACTGAATGGAATGTGGTAAACAGTGTGAAGCCATTTTGCGTATTTGATGGAGGCAGCAGCATCACCTGCAGGGAGCCTGGCTAGAACGTCCTGAAGGCGTTTCCCTCTCCCTGTACACGTGTGCCTGCCTGGTGCCGGAGTGCGTGACGGAGACTTTAAGGACAAATGTGTTTTTGAACCGGGGGTGGGGGGTGGAGGAGACACATCTTGCTCAACATGTCACTTTCTTGTCTCCTCCTCCAGCTGTGAGGGTTGTGAAGAGGGAGATTGAGTAATTTTGAGCCGGCCATGCTCATCACCTGCAGCGCATTTGCCGCTGCATCTTTCTCACATATACAAGATGCACAGCTAAACCGGAGATTATCTGCGTTCCTCGCGTACTGGCCGTAACTGCTGCTTTGACGTACCATGGAGGCTTACAGGAGACAAGTGGACTACAACCTGACATCTGCATTGGGCCAACACGGAGCTCGGATTTTTTTTTAAAGCTGGGATACATCTGCATTGTCGTCACAACACCAAACGTGCCTGCTTATTTGCCATTGGACCAACACCTATCGCTTCACGCGTTAACAGTCGGCCCCGATACGAGATGCACGTGAGTTTCCAAATTAACAAAATAACCACGGTTGTTTCTTTAAATCTGGGCACGGACACCACCTTTCCGTGGCCTTGGGATACCACAGAGCATTGTGTCTGTTGGCCTCACTGCCCTGGCTGCCCTGCTGTGCTGGCCATACAACCACCACCCTCGCTCTCCGCCACGCTTGCCACATACGCGCCCGATGGGACTGCACCATCCGACGCCACTCGTCCCAGCCACCGCGCAAGCCTGGGCACCACCGTGAGGCCCACGGCGGCTCTGCCGATGGGGGCGCAGCGATCGAACGGGCCTGGGAGCTCCTCCGGAGTGGCTCGTGCCTCTCACCACGCTATGCCACCTCCGCTGTCGCTGCCACCGTCGCTATGTTCCCCGTTGCTCGTGTTGGCTACAGTCTTCGCTCTGCTGCCCCTGGCCTCTGCACTTGGCCCCCCAACGCAGAGCTCCCCCAAGCTGTGGATGAATGGTGAGTCACTCAGCGGCACTGCCAGACCCAGAACTCAAACAATTATTTAAAAATATATATAACAACTAAAGGCTCAGCGAGAGTGCTTAGGGTTATTAGTGCTCAGAGTGGGAAAAAATCAATGTTAAATTACGGTTTTCAATAAGGACATAAGGATTGTCCTATACATGTTTGTATGTTTTTAAGGCAATGAAATTGGAACTAATTCGGTTGTAATGTTATGGTATTTAATGAATCTGTTAATTTATACCTCAAGTGAACTTGATAGAGTACAGCATTCAAAAGTGAAACACCTAAAACTGGAAAATGGTTATAAAAACGTATGTTTTATATTTAAAAGAAAGCGTAATGTGTGTGCATGTGACGCACATGCTGTCAACTATGGTCAAGGTATCAAATAGTGCTGGCAGTGTTGAAGCCAAGTGATACATGTGAGATGTACACAAATAGCACGCTCTCCCACCAATCATACAAGCACAACCTTGCCACGACACACACTGACAATTCTGAAACTTAAATGTATTTTAAAAGATTTGACTGATCCAGATTTGCAAATAGAAACGGCATTGAAAACGACACTGAGTAATCTCTCTTAAGCAACACTACCAAGCCCGCGATGTCTACATTGGATGATGAGCTACATTACGTTGACACGTAAAAGTGATTAGAGTAAACCAAACATTTTAAAGAATACAATTTTGTTCATTATTAGATATAAACAAGGTAGCGAGCCCAAAAGCGGGTGAATTGAGTGTCTGAAATTACCTGCAGATTATGAGAGGAATCTAAAGAGAGAAAGACCTCTGGATTTTGTATGGGTGGAAAAAGGATAAAGGGACCTGATTAAATCGATTAAGGTGGTCCATGTCACACATTACTGGAACACTCGGTAGCAATGGGTCAAATTTCGATTTAAAGCTTTCGTGACTGCAGGGATTCATCTTCTTGGTTCTTTCGGTAAAGTCACGTAGAAGGGAAGTAATAAAATAATAAAAATAAAAATAATAAAATAATTCTCACGACGTTTCGGCCACAACGCAAGCAACCGTCCTCAGTTGAAAACCAGGTCTGTCGAGGCGACAGCGTCTGAATGAAACAGCACCATGCTTGGAGCATATATTTAAGCTGGGTTGGAAGGGGGGAAAGGGCGCCTTGACAAAATAATTTGCATATCAAGAGGAATTTAGCATATTTATGGGAAATGCAGGTATGTGATTAGTACTACTTATGCCTGTGCATTATGCAGGATTAGCAGCATCAAAGGAAGGGGATAGGGGTAGCATTAATAAAGGGAAGGAGTGTTAATAGTATGTAGCTGCAGTAACTAAAACCACCACGTAAACAACTAAAGTATAAACTACATACTATCATCAGTATATTTATGCCATTTATTGTGAAAATTCCGTCAGTTCCTATGATTGCTTTTTCATTGCCTTCATGGCTTTATTTTGGTGATTTCGAAAAGTGTATTGGTTTAGCCATGTTTGTGTTGTTGTAGTACAGAGTTAGACTGATGGCCTTAATCTAAGTTGTCTTGTGGTTGTTGTTGTTGTTTGACTTGCATCCCACTGGGATTTTTGCACACAGCGTTGGTGTACGGTGTTTTTTCTGCAATATTTTTTGCTGTCTTTTCTTGGATTTTCTGTTTGCACTTAGTCACATATTCACTTTAAGATGTTTTTTTGTTCATGTTTTTGTTTTTTGTTTGTTGCGGTTGCACCCGATTCAAGAGCTGAATGGCTCACAGGGCTATACCTAATAAATGAACTTGAAATGAACTTGAACTTGATACTAAATATACTCTACAATAAGCTGAGTTACTAACAGTAAGTAATACATTACAATTCTACGCCGTAAAAATATATATATAATATGCTTCCATCTAAACTTTATTCTCTTACATCACACGAGTCTACACCGTACTATATACTGCCATAGACAAACCCAACATTAAATTACATACTGTATTGCTATAAACCATTGTAATATTACACTATGTATTATTCTACCCACCCTAATGTATATCACACTGCTGTATATTCACTATACAATTACGATACTATATATTGCTTAGTACATTGTATTAAGCATATACATTTTTATACTATTTGTTATTATACATTGTACCGTTGACCGTCGTGTGAAAGATACTAAGAGAAAGAAACAAAATATGTCAATAGGAGAGTAGTGATGGGAAACTTGCAGTGGAGCAAAGAATCCATTCCCTGTGGAGAATACAATGCCAGTGAGTGGCACGCGGTCTGAAAGTCACCGTAAACGTGAACACAATCAGTTAAGATCCAAAATGGTTGATTACGTCCTTCCAATGATTGCTAAGCCAGAATCCATCTTCTCGGTTGAAATTGTCTCTGTGTTTGTATATGTGGATCGCCTCATGAACGAATCTCTCATGGTAGTCAGATGGCTTGCAGATAACCTCTGTCTTGGAGAAGTCAATATCATGTGAGCACACTGAATTGTAACAGTGATCTGCCACGGATGAGGTATTTGTCCTACCGTGTTTCAGGTCTGCTTTATGTTCACGGATGCAGTCCGAGACATGTCGTTTGGTTTCCCCAATGTAACTGCTACCACAGAGGAAACTTAGTTTGTAGACGCCAGGGTACTGTATGTCTGGAACCACATCTTTTACAGACGGGACCAGATCACGGATTTTATGTACTGTGTTGAATCGGACCTGGATCTTGTGTTTAATCAGGATTTTGGAGATCTTTTTTGTGACCCCAGCAATGTAGGGTAAGGTGATGGTCTTGAAAGGCTCCTCAAACAGGATCCTTCTTGATGGTTGGAGTGATGGCTTTGCATAAGTAGTACTAATCACATACCTGCATTTCCCATAAATATGCTAAATTCCTCTTGATATGCAAATTATTTTGTCAAGGCGCCCTTTCCCCCCTTACAACCCAGATTAAATATATGCTCCAAGCATGGTGCTGTTTCATTCAGACGCTGTCGCCTCGACAGACCTGGTTTTCACCTGAGGACGGCTGCTTGCGTTGTGGCTGAAACGTCGTGAGAATTATTTTATTATGTTTTATTTTTATTATTTTATTACTTCTCTTCTACGTGACTTTACCAAAAGAACCAAGAAGATGAATCCCTGCAGTCACGAAAGCTTTAAATCGAAATTTAACCGCCTCTACGGGGAGGGTTTCCACATAACTTTGAGATCCTTCAACAAGCTCCGGGATAAGAAGGCTCAGCTAATCGAGTCTCTCACCTTTCTGAAGAGATGCCGCGACTCTAAGGTAATACCAAACGCATTTACACCAACATCTGCTGCTGTAACTTCTTGTAATGCGAAACGAATTCTGTCTAGAACTAGCTTAGCTCTTATCTCAGAGAAAATCAGACTTACGCGCACCGAACTAGATCAGTTAGACAAGACACTCTACAAATCACACTTATCTTTGAGTGCAACAATGTCCACATCGGATTGGGAACATGTAGACAAAATGACTGCTTCTTCAGCGGCCGCTATGTTTACTAAATAGAAGGACAACTTGATTTCCAAATTCAACCGCCTCTCAAACAAGAAACCGGACCCACACATTGAAAAGCTAGATGTTAACAAAGTCGTAATTAATCGCAGTAACAGTTCTATTTCTGAAGGTCTGAAATCCGTTTTAGCTAAAGGACTAAACTTTGCAGTCACACCTAGACACATACCAGTTAATGATATAATTGCTCGAGTAGATGTAGCTCTCAAGGGCCTGAGTCACATCGCTGCAGACGTAGCAAAATCTGAAATCTCTGCAACCCTCAAAAACGCTAAGATGCCAGCTAGCAACATCAGCAAAGATGAGCGTTTTGAATTAGCTCAATTAAAAAAGAGGGATGACATTGTCATCCTCTCAGCCGACAAAGGCAATGCCACTGTCATCATGGACAAAACAGAATACAACAACAAAATCCAAGAACAACTCAACGATGGCAGCTATACAAAAATAAAAAGAGACCCCACCAACAGCCTCGTCTCAAAAACCAAGCAAATCATTTCTGATTCAACCGCATTAATTGATCAGACCAAACAGTTCTCGTTGAAACCTTCTGCAGCCAGGCCACCAAGATTATACGGCTTGCCAAAGATACATAAAGAAGATACACCTCTTCGTCCCATTGTCTCTACTATCAACTCCCCCACCTAAAAATTGGTTCGTTTTTTGTCTGAAATCCTACGGCCTTTCACTGGAAAAACCACTTCTGCGGTACTAAACTCTACTGACCTGGTATCGACAATCAATGGGATTTCCCTGTCTCCAGACGACCTGCTTGTCAGTTTTGATGTGGTTTCCTTATTCACCAAGGTTCCTGTACCTGACACCATCGCAATCATTGAAGACTTGGTTCATCAAGGACTGAATGCTGGGGTACCCCCCCTGGTGAGACACTGCTTAACCAATACATACTTCACCTGGAATGGAACTTTCTACAAGCAAACTGAGGGCACCCCAATGGGCTCCCCCCTATCTCCGGTTGTAGCCAACATCTTCATGGAGAAATTTGAGACTGACGCCATCCAGATTGCCACTCTACGCCTGACCTTATGGAAGAGGTACGTAGACGACACTTTTGTCATCTGGCCACATGGCCGGCCTGCTCTAGACCAATTTGTCGACCACATCAATTCCATACATCCAGCCATCAGATTCACCATGGAAGTCGAAAAAGATGGCAAGCTACCCTTTTTGGATGTCCTAATTAAAAAGAGACCTGATGGTTCAATGAGCCACTCTGCCTACAGAAAAGCCACCCATACGGATGCTTACCTAAAACCGGATTCCCATCACCATCCATCCCAGAAGAATTCCCTCATCAAGACTCTATACCATAGAGCCCAATGCATCTCCGACCAGGAACACATTGCCAGTGAACTCAAACACGTACGCCAAGCTCTTAAGGCTAATGGTTACTCCGACTACACAATCCGCAAAGCCATCACTCCAACCATCAAGAAGGATCCTGTTTGAGGAGCCTTT